CTCTTTCTTGGTCATTCCTTCTCGGTACGTAGCATCGACATAGCCATAGATGTAGGAGCTCCCAGAGCCTCCAATGGCAAAGGACTGTCTTACCATCATACCCCCCATGGGCACTGAGTACACCTGCCAGGTGGAGGGAGAAGAGTCATCAGTTGTACCCTCCTCACAACACATGTACATTCAATCACCTGTCCACTGTGGAACTGATCTGGGAAGAGTTAATAGTGAGGAAGAGGCTGGAAACAGAAAATGGCTGGGGTGGGGAGAGGGTCAAAGGCATGGCTCCAGTGCTCCAGGGGTGGGTAGTGTCTGACCTGCCCTCCTTCTTGAGAGTCCCAGCCCGCAATGATGATTCCTGCCATCAGGTCTTCCCGGTATCGGTAACACATCTCCTTAAAGAGGCTGGCTGCAGTGTGTACCAGCGGAGGCTCATTCAGCTCAATGCTAGAGGGTGAGGGGAGTCATAGGGAAGGCATCATCAGGTCCTAGGTGTCAGACCATTTAGCTTCTCAGGTCCCAACTCCCTTCAGATACTTGTTTCTCCCCAGCCCACAAGCACCTGTGGAAACCAAGCTGATAGGTAACAGCATCAGCTACTGCCTGGGTATCAGCTGCGGAGCCTGAGCGGCAGCAGAAGATACGATCGTGAATAGGGGTCAGCTTGTCAGTCACTCGATTGGCGATGTAGGACCTGCAGAATGGCAGCATAGTGAGGGAAAGGACCCCACTTGTCTCCCACCTCCATCGCATTACTATCCACTCCCTCAGGGCTCAGGAATAGGAGTTCCTCAATTTTCTATTCTCATCCAAACTGAAACAGGCTGGAGAACAGACTTCCGCAAGAATTTCACCTAAGGGTGAGGGGAACAGTGAAGTTGTAGAAGCTGGATCAAATCCTCATCTCCAGAGAGGAGAGAAACCTCCCTCCCACAGCTCTGTTGGGGGTAAGGATGGGCTGGCAGGCAAGCAAAGAAGAGGAAGATGGGAAGACCTTTCACATGTGTCTTCAGCTCACCCAGTGGTTGTTCTGGAATCAGCCCCCAGAACCACGCCCCCGTCAAATTGCACGGCCATGATAGTGGTCTGGGGAAAAGGAGAATGGGGTGAGTCTGGGCCTGTTCATTCTCCAGGTCACATAAACCTCAATGATCCCTCTACCCAGACCCTAGAGTATTAAAGTCATGCAGCAGTGGCCCATTGTCAAATCTCATACGGGGCCTCATCCTCCTGCGAAATACCAGAATTCCAATCCTCAAATCCTCAAAGGCCCATCCCAGCCTTAAGCCTGCGTCCCGCAGGATTCCAGAATTCCACGCTTCTGTCTACCTTCCACATCCGCATTCTCAAGATACCTCTCCCCCGGCCTCCAGCACATCACAGACCACCTCCCGCCCCCGCTCCCTACTTCTCCCAGCGCACTCAGGCCTATCCTAACATCGCATTGAGACTCGCGCACATCTCCTGAACCCCGAGTCCTTCCTCACCCCAGTGGAGACTTCCCGGTTTTCCCAGTCGGGGGTAAGGGCCTGCGGCCCCCAGGCCGGAGTTGGCCCAGCTCCTCTCGCAGCTACTAAGGTGGCCGCCATCTTTCTCATCCGATGCTGCCACAAAGCAACTGTCGTAAAGCGCTCGGTCACTCTCTTTAGTCGTGCTCTGAGGCCTTCTGGGGGCGAGGCTAGGCCACGGTTGACGGCAGAAGGGAAAGCGTAAGGAAGTTTCTTTTGCGACAGTGAATGCTTGATGGCAGCGTGGCAGGAAAATAAACAAAAATACGCCCGGAGCAGTCTGTCTGCAAGGCTGTGCTTGCTGTAGGACTGTGCGCACTGATGTATCTGATCGGAGCTGCAACTCAAAGTCTTCAGGACAGACGTGAGCCTCTGACTTACAGAGCGGCACACTGTTTTCAGTCCTCTAGGTATATACCTAGCAGTACGTACAGTACCAGGAGGGGAATTGCTGGGTCCGGTAGTAACTCTTTTACTATTCTGAGGACCGACAACTGTTTTCTACAACAGCTGCCTCATTTTACATCCCCACCAGCCATGTGTGAGGACTCCAGTTTCTCCACATCCTCACTAATTGTTATTGTGTATTTTTACTTTTGCCGTCCTAACGGGTGTGGATTGGTATCTTGTGGGTTTTTTCGTCTTTCTTCTGTGTTTGTTTTTTTTTTTTTGCATTTCCCTAATGACTAGTGATGTTGAGACTATTTTCATATGCTAATTGTCTGTTTATCGTCTTTGGAGAAATGTCTATTGAAGTCCTTTGCTCATTTTAAAATTGGGTTATCTTTTGTTGTTTGTAAGAGTTCTTTTTTATATTCTAGACTTTTATCAGATACATGATTTGCAAATATTTTCTTCTGGTCCTATGGATTATCTTTTCAGTTTCTTCACTGGTATCCTTTTTAAAATGTTTTTTATTATTGATTTCAGAGAGAGGAAGGGATCGGGGGAGAGAGAAACATCAATAAGAGAGAATCACTGATCCACTGCCTCTTGCAGGCCTCCTACTGGGGACCCAGCCCCAAACCCAAACATCTGCCCAGACTGCGAATTGAACTGTGACTGACCTCCAGACTCATGGGTGGAGGCTCAACCAGTGAGCCACACTGGCTGTACCTTCATTGGTGTCCTTTGAAGTGAAAGGTTTTAAATTGTGGTGAAGTCCAATTTGTTTTTCCTTTGGTTGCTTGTGCTTTTGATGTCGAAGAAACTGTTGCCTGCCCTGGCCGGTTAGAACCTCAGCCTGAAGGGTCGCGGGTTGGATTCCTGGTCAAGGGCACGTACATCAGTTGCAGGCTCGATCCCTGGCCCTAGGTCTCCTGTAGGAGGCAACCAATCAATGTGTCTCTCTCACATGGAGGCTTCTCTCTGTCTCTCCCCCTCCATTCCATTCTCTCTCAAAAAAGATCAATGGAAAAAATATCCTCAGGTGAGAATTAACAAAAAAGAAACCGTTGCCTAACCCAAGGCTACAAAGATTTACAGCGACATTTCCACCGAAGAGTATAACAATTGTAATTCTTATATTTTAGGTCTATGATTCATTTTGAGTTAATTTTGTGTACGGCGTGAAGTAGGGGCCTAACAGTCATTCTTTGGCATGTGGATATTCATTTGTTCCAGCACCATTTGTTGAAAAGGCTGTTCTGTCCCCTTTGAATGGTCTTGACAACTTTGTTGAAAATCAATTTACCATGTGTATAATACTTTTTATATATGGCTTGCTAGCATTTTTGCTGAAGATGTTTTGCATCTTTATTCATACAAGATATCAACATATTGGTCTATTTTTTTATACCTTTGGTATCAGGGTAATAAAGGCCTCATAGAATAAGTGGAGAAGAATTACCTCCTCATCTGTTTCTGGTCCTGGGCTTCTCTTTGTGGGAAGTTTTTGTGTTTTCATTTTATTTTTTTGAAGTTTTTGTGTTTTTAAATCCTCACCCAAGGAGTGAGGATATTTTTTTCCATTGATTTTTTAGAGAGTATGGAAGGGAAGGGGAGGGAGAGAGAGACACACACATGGACTGGTTGCCTCCAGGTGGGGAGGTGGGAGCCGGATTGGATGTATAACCCAGGTGTGTACCCCGGCCCCCCCATGTGTGCAGCCGAAGCTCTAACCATGGAGCCACGCCGGCCTGGGGTAGTTTTTTTGATTACTAACTGGATCTCTTTGTTGTAGGTCTAGTCAGATTTTCTATTTATTCTTGAGTCAGTTTTGGTAGTTTATGTCTTTCTAGGATTTTGTCCATTTCTTTTAGGTTATCTAATTTGCTAGTTTACAATTGTTTATAGTATTCCTTTATAATCCTGTAATATTCATAATAATATCCCCTTTCATTCTTGATTTTAATAATTTTTCTTTTCCCTTTTTTCTTGGTAAGTCTAGCTAAAGGTCTGTCAATTTTCTTGATCTTTTCAAAGAGCCAACTTTTTTTTTCAAAAAATTTGTATTGATTTGAGAGAGGTGGGGGATGGGGTGCAGATTTGTTGTCCCACTTATTTATACATTTATTGGTTGATTCTTGTGCGTGTCCTGAATTCACAACCTTGATGAATTGGGACGAAGCTCTAACCAACAGCTACCCTGCCAGGGCTCAAAGAGCCAACTTTTAGATTAGTTGATTCTCTCTATTGTTTTTCTATTTCATTTATTTCTACACTGCTCCTTATTAATTCCTTCCCTCTGCTTTTCTTTCTTTCTTTCTTTTTAATATGTTTTTATTGGTTTCAGAGAGAGGAAGGGAGAGGGAGAGAGACAGACAGAAGCATCAATGATGAGAGAGTCACTGATCGGCTGCCTCCTGCCGCCCCCCGCCCGGGGATTGAGCCTGCAACCGGGGCATGTGCCCTGTCTGGGAATCGAACCTCGATCTCCTGGATCATAGGTCGATGCTGAACCCCTGAGCCATGCCTGGCTGGGCAGTGTTGACATTTTAGAAAGAATAATCAGGAAGAGTCTCACTGAGGAGATATTTGGATAAAGACCAGAAGGAAAGAAGGAGGGAAGTCATTTGTCTACTAGGGGAAAAGCATTATGGACAACAGGGAGAGCAAGTGCAAAGGTTCTGAGGCAGGACCAAACCTGACATGTTCAGTGAGTGTTGTGGAGGCCAATTTAGCTTGTGCAGAGTCAGACCAAGTGGGACCTTTATGAAATTTTTCATCATTCTCAACTGGAAACATGATCCAGAAAATTTCCTGCTTAGATTAAAATTTCTTTTCATCTGAGTGTAGTAGGAAGCCATTGGAAGGTTTTAAGCAGGGAAGTGACATGATATGAACTACATTTTTAAAAATCATTTCGGCTGCTCTATTGAACATACACTATAGGGAGGTGAAGTATGGGACAGAGAGACAATTAGGAAGCTGTTGCAACAATAGGTGACAAAGTTGGCTTGACAAGTATCGTAGCAGTGGAGATAGTGGGAAATGGTCAGATTCTGACACATTGGATATGGGTACAATGATAGAGAAATCGAAGAGTCAGGATGACTACAGGGTTTTTGGCTTAAGGATCTGGAGGAGTGGAATTGTCACTTTCTGAGACAGCAAAGACTATAAAGGGGGTATTTTGGGAGGAGAGGGTATTAGAAGCTTAGTTTGGGGCATTTTAAGTTTGCTATGTCAAGTTGAAATTCAACTGGAGACGTTGAATAAGGAGATGTATAGATAGGATTCCGGAGTCCAGGGCAAAGTAGATTTGAGTTATAATTGGGATTTATCAGTGTATGAAATGGCTAAGCTCTTTCATGTTCACTATCGTTGTGGGAGCAGCCAAAAATCATTTAATAAAGATGCATTATTGAGCTGAGCTTCTGTTTGGTGTGAGGCACCGTGCACAGGTTTTAGGCTTGGGTGGTTGACAGAAGAGGGTGCCATTTATTCAGAGACAAGGAACACAAGAAGAGGTGCAGTTCTGGGAGGAGGCGATCAGATCTTAGTTGACGTGTTGCATTTGCGGTGTCTGTGTAGGTGTCCAGGAAATATTTGGCTTATGGGGGCTGGAGCTCAGGGGACAGGTCTGGGGTGGAGACTTGGCATGTAGTTGGCAAGGGAGCCCTAGGAGTGGTTAGCCATGGGGAGCCTGAGTCTCTCCGCTGCGGGGAACAGAGATGACACATCTCCCCGCATCCGTTGTTTTCTATTTCCCTATTTACGTGCCTGCTGATATCACAGAAAACGTCCTAAGTCGACAGCTACCAAAGAATTCATTTTATTCCCTACAGCTTCTCCCTTCTTCCGGGGACTTAAGGTAGAGGGAGGAGCTAAAACGCCCCACCCCACCGGGGCAGGCCTGCCAAGGAGTGACGTCACCAAAGAGGCGGGTTATCGGGCGCCCCACGGCCTGGAGCTGGAAGCGACCGCGGAGGGCGGGACCCTGAGCCTCGCACGG